ACACGATGCAGAGAGGCTCTTCGACCCATCACAGCAAATATTACACAGACAGACTGGGATCGACGGCCTATCTTCAATGACGTCCGCATGGGGGACTTCATTATCGTCAAAAATTGGGGATCAATCAATTGCTACCACCATGACAATCACTACCCTAAGGGCGACTACAACACGAGAGCTCGTATGAACAAGGGCCAAATCTACGGACCAGTCATGCACTTCGAAGTCATCGACAAGTTCTTTTCAACGCAAATACTTATCAACTACGGTCTACGGTGGGTAAACATATGGTATTGCGGCGAAAACCTGCCCCTCAAGGGCATTGTCTTCGCTTTGCCAGTACGCGCTGACATCGACCCTGTCCACTTGAATGTTGCGATCGAGGGCCCGTGTTCGTGCTATGATCAGATTGCAGAATTCGCCCGTACAGGTGCTCTGCCATATCTTGGACTCCCGACCATCTACAAGCCGCGTATCCCACGTGCGCCGGCCAGACGCCCCGCTCCTCGGACACCTGATCCCGACCAGGAGTTGGTGGCGACACCCGCCGATGATCCTATGGCGGGCGGCGAGGGAATGCCACGCGACGCGGGTCAATCCACTGACGCTCCAGTCACTGTCATCATTGACACTTCGACCATAACACGAACAGTCGACGAGAAGGCAGCCAATGATGCCATGAGGGCGGAGATGACGGCGGAGATCCATGCTGATGAGGATGTCGGATCTTCCATCCTCGATAACATCATCGACCCGCCAGATAACTTCCTCAACAATCCCGACTACGACCCAGAGGACCATACTAAATGGATTATTTCCTCTTACGACTACCGAGTATATTACTGGGCATCGGCGCCGCTGGTGGACTCGCCGATGATCCAGGTGAAACAAATTATTGAGTTACACGCTGGCAGGACCAACCTTGTGGTGGACAAGATAGGGTCATATTTGCGATTCGGGACCAATACAGAGGCATACCAGATGGATTACGACCACGCCCATACATGGGCACGTGATTTGCCAATCTGCAGCCCAGATCATTTTTTTCAAAAAGGTGGTGCATTTCCTCGGCTCTGAGGTTATCCAGGAATCAACCACATGTATCTTCCAATTGATTCCCAAAGTGTACCAAACTATCTTGTTGGATGGTATCAAGGAGCTACATCAGTTCACCAACGCTTCCATCAATAAGAAACATCCTGCTCTTCATGCGTTGCGAGCACTCTTCAAAGAGTGCAACAAGACACATGGAAACCCAGGCTTCCCCGTATGGGAGGAGCCGGTGGAGACACCTGCCGCGCCTGACCAGGACGAACCAGGCGCCAGGCAGGATATTGCCCAGGACCCAGGTAGTGTTGCTTCAGCAGCCCCAGATCAAGAGACCATGGTGCAGGTCCTGGCCGAAATGCAGAACATCGACCGCGATGTGGGCGACAACGAGACCACCCTGCAGGCAGAGGCCACCCGCATTCGCGCAGACATGGGCGCACCCTACGGTCAGACGGACTCCACGGACATCGACGCATCTGGGTACGCAGGACTACCGGGAGAAAGGCTATCGCTGACCGAGATCGAGGGGATCGGACGATCGATCGCTTCTCGTGCCACCGCTGAGCTCAACCGTGAGGCTATGAACCAGCTTGGTCATTCCCTCGCGTCAGCAGCTGGTGGCGACACTCGCTGGGGCTCTCTCAGGGACCTCACTGCGTCTGGGGCCCCCGAACAACTCCAGCAGGATATACCGCGGTGTCGGAATTGCGATCGCCTCCTTTCTTGGGGGATTGTCACCAATGATGGGGCACTTTGCGACATCTGTTGGCAGTGCAGTGTCTCTGTAGGCGCCACAGGCAAAGGTGGGGCCGAGGAGAGTGACTTGGCGTACCTCCAGAAGCTCAACAACTGGATCAGGACCAACCTCTCCGAGAACGACGTCAGGCGCTACATGACGGATGGAGAGCGCGTCTACATGACAGGCAAACGGTCCATATACGGACACGAAACGACCGTCTGGAGGAAACTTGCGAAGAAGGCGGGAGAGAGGTACCAGAGGTGGCTCGACGCAGGTTTCCCTCCTGCAAATGAGTGCAGGATGATGGGCGAACCTGACGATCAGCGTCCTCTGTACCACCCTTACCGCACTGTCGCCCAACGCTTCCTCAACGACCCACGGTTCCACCACCAGATGACTGCCGCCCGTGTGGAGACTGGCAAGAATGCCTGGACCATCGAGGACACGCGCGAAGCTTGCGACATCCATGCTCGCAGCGTTGAGCTTGGCCACGCTGGTCGCAGGAACTGGTGGTTGAACGAAGGTAGGATGGACGGAGGCACCAGGCAAGAACGTGGTCTCATCACAATTGCTTTGCCCCGCGGGGACGGCACTTGTGAAAAGGTCACGCAGCGCAAGCTTGCCAAACTCGCCTCTGTCGAACCTGCCATGGGGTCTGCCGATCCAAGGGGGGTGAGTTCAGGGGTTAGAACCGGTCCTAATGAACCCCACACGCACTCCGCTCACACACATGGCGCCATGGCGCCGCAGCAGCCGCGGCATCCGCTGCCGCCTCGCGCTGCCCATGGCGACGCTGCTGGAAGCTGCGCCTCTGGCGCGCAGGCAGGGATGCCCGCTGGGCCGAGCGGCGCGGCCGCTGCGCCACTGCAGAGCAGCGACAGCAGACGCAGGCCGACGACGCCTCCGCGTGCCCAGCGGGCGCGTACGACAGAGGACTACGCAGCGCGGTGGCGCCGCAACGTCGAGGGCAGCGAGTGGGGCCCAAGGTACTGGAGCTACAACATCAAGTGCTGGATGTACATTGCCGAGAACAACGACGAATTTGTGTACATCCGCGACTTGCAGTACAATGATCGGTTCCACAACTGGATCCCAAGGACGCCTTGGCAGACGTACACGACGAGCTACGTCAGGACAAACGGCTACAGAGTGTGGCACCACAGGTTCTACATGAGAGGCGCTTCGTACATGAGTCGGCCGCAAGGCCCACTGCTCGATTGGTTTGAACTTCATCTTTACAACGTTCGCCTCGAGCAGCGAGTACTCATACAATAGTTGGCCACTTCACTATACAAGAGGTAAGTGGCCCTTCACATACATCTTGTGAAACCCGAGGCAAAACTCTTGAGGAGTAATGCCGATGGGAGTAACCAATTGTAGAATTTATTGTTTTACATTTTCGTGCTCATCAACGCGATTTTGCGCTGGGCCCAGCGTTTGCGTTGATGACTAGACGTGTTTCTTAACACGATCGTGTTTCTTAACAGGACTTGGTATTACATTTTGTTTGCTTATTCTATGTAGTATAGTTTAAGATACGCTTGCGTTGAGAATGATATGATGCCCAGCTCTAGTTCGAGAGCTGGTGGCAACACCTGCCGCGTATAGACGTGGCAGCTTCTGATGTTGCTTTAATTTGTTCAGATCCTCTTGCTCCGCCCACCCATGCCTCATTCTTCTCCGCCCTCGAGTGCCGCAGCGTTTTGGGGGGGGCGCGCCGAGGGGGCGCCAAAGTGTGCTTGGCGAAGAAACAGGGGCCCTGGGTGTTCCTTCTTTACCTTACTTGCCTGATCACGCCAGCTGCTGTGCTACGCTCCACTTTTGCACTCTGCTGTCATGATCGGGACGCAGCTGAAGCGATGCAGCTTTTACGCTCAGCTGCCTTCCAGTGGTGAGGATCTGAGGAGTAAAAGGGTGACAGGTTCTTTCTCCTTTTTCTGAGTCCTGCTCTTGCGGGCGGGATTTGGGACGGGGTGTGTAAATAGAACCCGTATAATACCCTCCTATATACCCCTCATCCTCACTCTCCTGCGCCTGGCCGTTTGGGCTCAGGTATTGGATTAGATCGATCAGACCTTTGACCGTGCAGGAGGAAAAGATATCCATCTTTCCCTCCTTTTCCTCTACCAACGGATCAGGGGTTCTGCGCCTTTGTACTTCAACCCCATGCACACATCCCGGCACACCCCACACACGTTTCGGGGCCCCACAGGGAGTTCCACCGAAGGCGCCAGAGGCACTGCGTTCGCATGCGCCCACCTCATCCATTTCGGCACACCCATCACACGCTTCGCGGTACCATGGGGAGCTCCACCGACGGCCCCCATGGTTGCGTTCGCATGCGCCCACCGCACCTATTTCGGCACACCTCTCACACGCTTCGTGGCCCCATGGTGAATTCCACCGACGGCCCCAGCGGTTGCTTTTTTTTCATGCGCCCACCGGACAATTTCTGGCACACCCCTCTCACGTTTCGTGGCCTTATAGGGAGCTTCTCCGAATGCAGTGCGTACGACGACGGCATTGACAATTGCATGCGGTTGGGTTTCTCGCCTGGGTAGTTGTCAGGGAAGGCCGCCCTGCGCGCGCCGCCCCTGTCAACGAAAAGTACAAAGTGCTCTTGGGCCTCGCGAGCATGATTCTGGACTTTGCCCCGAAGTTATTTTGCATTTTTTTTTCCCCGACCTTCCCTCGGTTGGGCACTCGTTTTGAATGGAGCACTGTGGGCGCGTCTCCTCCTCCTTCTCCTTCTGCCGATCTCCTCCCTCCTCCCTCCCGTCTCCTCCGTCACCATTTTGGCTCAAGATGCTTGCGCTGAAGGGGGCTCCGCGCCTCCGTGCCTGCAGGGGCACCGCTGTCACCGCGGACAGCCATCACCTGTGCGCAGCTCCAGGGACGCGCTCCCCCCTGGAGTGAAGAGAAGTTCTCAGCCCCAGCAGCTGAACCGGAGGGCTGCGCGAGTCCTGCCACCAAAGTCTGGAATTGGGCTCCAGGGCCACGATGGCGGGCAATGGCGCAGGGGCGATTCTCGGCGGCCCCGAGCGTCCGCACTGGGGCTGCCCCACATGTGGATCAGCTAACCATTGGGCTTGTCGCACACAGTGTTGCCGCGGGGCGCGGGCTCCGCAGAGTGTTGCATCCAGGGCAAGACATGGGGGTGAGAAAGCCAAGGCCCAAGCCAGCGACGAGGGGCAGCCCCCTTCGCGCGCAGCTGGCAAAGGCAATGGCAGGCTCGACTCAACCAAGCTCGCCCCCTGGCACCAGAACCAGTTGGAGAAGGAGCTCGTGGCGCTGCGCAAGCAGGCGCAGCAGCTCAAGGTGTCTGACAGGGAGAAAAAGGCTGCAGCTGGCGCGCCCCCCGACGCTGCTCACGCAGGGATGGAGGTCGACGCGAGCGGCGGCGACACGGACACGACCGATGCATCTACCAAGCGAGCTGCCCTGCTGGGCAGGATCGGCCACTGCGAGCAGTTCGTCAAGAGTCTCACGCTGTACGAGGCCAGTGAGAGCGAGCTGCTCACGGCGGCCAAGAAGCACCTGGAGGAGCTACGCGCGCAGCTTCGTGAGCTTCGGCCGCCCACCACGGCGCGTAAAGTGGCGAAGCAGCGGCTCGAGCGCTACTGCGCACAGCTCGAGCGTCTCCGTGCTGAAGCTGCTGAGCGCCGCGAAAGCATCGCCAAGCTGCAAGAGGAGCTCGACGTCATGGAAGCGTCTATTGCGCAGAAAGAGGCAGAGGTCAACTTGCTCACTGACGAGGAGCGCACGTGTGCTGAGGCGCTGGCGAAGCAGCGTGGGCTTGCGCCCGCATCCGAGGCAGCGCCGCCCACGGCGCCCCCTGGCCTGCCTGTGCTCGACCCCAATTTCCTGCAGTGCAACATGCCCGACCTCGAACCCCAGCCAGAGCCCGAGGTCTTCTACCAGCAGTTCACGGGAGACCCCAGGTTCGGGCTCTTGCAGCAGCTGCTGGGCAAGCGTGTCCAAGCCAGTCTCGCCGCGCCCAAGCAGGCGCATGATCAGCCTGCTGGCGGTCTCAGTGATTCTGATGGTGATATGTTTGGCGGCACGAAGACGCGGCCAAGCGCGCTGCAGAACCTCCTCTCGGAATGGACGACATCCGCCAGATGCGCGAGGAATTCAAGAAGGTTGGAAGCGCCGAGGAGTCCGAGGAGCAGGTTGCCGCCAAACTCCACGGTTTCGCCACCTACATCCACAGCGCCAAGAAGATCAGAGTTGTCGCCCCTGCACCAGCCCCAGCAGCTGGAGCCACGGGGCGCTGAGAACCATCAGCCCCGTGTGAGCGGGTTGCGATTGCATCGAGGTGAGCTGCCGTGCGTTGAAGCGCCGTCCAGTTCCTTGCAGTCGCATTTGCTCGAGACTTTCAACGCCAATCAGGGTAAGACCACACTGGAGCGACGGCTTGAAAGGGCCCAGGCGTTGGTGGTACTGGTTCAAGAAACTGGATATCATGATCTCGAAGTTGAGGAGTTCCAGTCCTGGGCAGGCGTTCGAGGATGGCAGGTTATTGCAGTTGCATGGGGCGGTCACTGAGGGATATTTGCCTTCAGCAGGCGTGGCAGCGTTCGAACGCAACTCCGTAGGGCTGCGGTGGCCACCCAACAAGCAATCGTCCGAGGTGGCACTTCGGCGCGCTCAGCACGCGATTGCGGACTTACCCGGATGGGGCCCACTGCGCGTGTTCAATGTGTACCTGCACACCGCTGAGGGCAGGACGGTCCGCAATGCACGTATTCTCTGCGCAGTTGGAGAGGAGATGTCAGGCATCCTCGACCCCTTGCGTGATCGGAGGCGACTGGAACATGGCGGCCAGGGAAGTTGAGGACTCCACCTTCCCCGCCAAAGCCCAGGTGGGCCTGGTGGTGCCAGCAGCAGTGACATGTCGTACGGCTCGGTCGTGTTCCACCATCGATTTCTTTGCCCTCAGCTCCGCAGCGATGAGGTTTTTCCAGAGGGTCGGTGCCGACACGAGCTGGGCTATCAAGCCCCGCAGGCCTGTGCAACTTTCCTTCGCAGTCAATTGGCAATACCTGCAGTATCTGGCGCATGGGCGTGCCCCCAAGATTCCCGGCGCACAGGTGCACGGGCCTTGCTGTGCTGACGAGTCTTGGGCTTCTGAGGCCGCGCGCGCTGAGCATGCGCTCTTCCTGGCCAAGCACCAGCGCGCTGATGGCGCCTGGGTGCCCTCTCCAAGGCTTGGGCCAAGTTCATAGTGCGTGCTGCTCAGAGGATCTCACGCGTTATAGCCACTGAAGTCCGGGACCTCGACCTCTTCGCAAGATGTTTTGCACCGCAGTGGGTTCAAGTTAGATACCAATCGAAAGATCCTAAAGGCGCCCAGGCGCGAGCTGAGGGATGGAGTTGACTACGCGACGCCATCGCCTACATAGCGCAGCTCAGCGAGGCATCTTCTACGTCGAGGGCGGCTGCAGGATCCACGGCCGCAGGCATCAGAGCGCGGACTGTTGTGCCAAATCAGATGGACCAATGCGAGCTCGACCCGTTCGAAGACATTGACCGCGACCCTGACTGCACGGACAACCTCCCCAGCGCCCCCCCCCCTTCGCCAGGAGAGACGTGCTCAGGCGGTCGCCTCCCTGAGGGTGTCCGAGGCCATGTCGGTTCCCCCTCCCTGGCAGTGGGTCACGGCTGCGAAGTTGGTAGCCCTTCGCCTGATAGACTGGCTACTGGGATTGAATCTTTCCAGACGCTCAAGTACGTTGGCCAAGGACTGAGTCGCGGGCTGGACTCTGCAGTACAGCATGCTCGCCGTCTCGTTTCTTTGGCCCCCTGCGCCCCGATGGCCTGCGATACCTGCTCAATGACATCGATGACGATGTCCACGCTGTATGTCAGGAGGCTGGGCATGGCAGGAGCGTTCGGTGGAAGGCCCGGTGTGAACAGGCCAGTGCAGGAGGAGCCCGAGGACTTCATCGGCTCACGCGGCTCAATGACGCCCAGCAGCCGACCGTCGCCAAGGGCGAGCGTGGGGCCGCAGCTCACCCTCATCATGTTGTTCGTGACATGGAGCAGTCGCACATGAAAGTGTGGCAGGGAGGAAGGTAGGCACCTCGAGCACGTATTCCTGATCGTGAGTCGCTGCCTGCTGCTTCGGCTGATGCAATCAGGAAGGCCGCCAGTTCTTCCCCCTCCACCACTTCCAGCTCCCTGGGCGGCATACACCCCACGTGCTTCGCATTCCTGAGCGATGAGGCGCTCGATGTGCTCAGTGTGTTGCGGCAGGCTTGCGGATCGCTTGGCTTGCTGCCTCAGCAGCTGCTGCGGATTATATTTTCCATGCTTCCTAAGTCGGCAGGAGGGCATCGTCTTATTGTGGTCTACTGTGGATTTTACCGGCTCTGGCAACGCACCCAGCGAGTGCGCCTCGATGGTCTCGAGCAGGCCCTTGGCCGCAAGTATTGGGGCGTTGCGTCAGGAAGATCGGCCATCGACATCGCGCGGGCGCTTGCCCCTCGCACTGAGGCTGCGTTGTCGAACAAGGTGCACTCAGTCACACTTGTTGCCGATTACTCGAAGTATTATGGGGAGATCAACTTGGACGAGCTGCAGTTCAAGCTTGATCAGATGAATGCCCACACTGGTTTTACGAAGTTGATTTTCAACACGTGGAGAGGTCCTCGTATCATCAGAGCACAGCGGCACCATGGGCGTTGTCCCTGCATTGTCTGCCGTGGAGTGCCAGCTGGCGATGGCGCCGCGGACATCGCGATCAAAGTTCATGCTCTTGCAGAATATGACTCATACGTGTGCCTGCGCCCGCTGGTCGGTTTCTCAAGTTACATCGACGACGCTGCCATCGGGGCCCATCATGCTGATGCGTTCACGGTGGTGGTGCAGGCCGTCATCGCTGGAGAGGGTGTCAAGAGAGTTGTTCAGAAGCTGGGTTCTCGCATCAATGAGTTGCTATTGTAGCCTCCAGCCTCGACATAGGACGTGCTGTAGCCGAGCGGCTACAAGTCCCTGCTGAAGCAGCTGTCAGGAGCGCAGTGGCTCACCTTGGAGTTGACTATACGCGGCTGGTCGGGCTCGAAGGGCAGCAGGAGTCCGAGTCAAGCAGCGGAGTCGTCTGGACCGGCACAAGAAGCGCACGAGGAAGCTTGCCAAGCACAGGCGAGCTATGCCAGTCAATAAGGACCTCCGTCTTGGTCGCATCTACCGCACTGGGGCGAGACCTGCGTGCACCTTCGGAGTCGATGTCAATGGAGTCACCAAATCGGAGCTTGCAGTAGTCCGCCGAGCGTACGGACGCCAAGTCAAACCATATCATGGAGGCATCTCTGCGACCGCCAAGTTGGCTCTTGACGGCGGCCCAGCGATCCGCCAAGCCATTGCTCTTGCATTGCAGTGGAGCGGGATGCTGCGGGAGGCCGTCGCTCGACCCGACAGGGCGCTCGTGTCCAAGGATGATCTGCTCATCTGGTGGGATTCTGCAGTTACCTACATTGGCAGGCCCTTCGACTGGGCTAAGTCTCGAGGGCCCCTTGAGCGCGCAGTCCTGTGCTTGGGGCGTGTTGGCTGGATCGCCCGCAGCGGGGCCCTCTGGCGCGACAACCTCGATCAGGTAGTCCGAGTTGATCAGCTCACGCCCGCGGTGCTCGAGGATCTACTGACTCAGGCCATGCAGTAGATGATTGAGTGCCAGCTCGCAGAGAAGTGGGACCTCCCAGCTGGAGTTCGAGTAACGTTTGATCTCATCCAGGGCGCAGTGCGCGAGCGCCCCAGGCAATGCACCAAGTACCAGAAGCTCCTCATCCGTACGTGTGCTTGCCGGGGTCTGTGGACCAAGAGTCGCGCCCTGGACAGGGGCTATGACACGGATGGTCTCTGCTCGTGTGGCCGAGCAGACGCGGTGCACCACAGGCTCTACACCTGCACCAGGGTTGGCGTGTAGGCCGCGCGTCTCGAGAGCCAGGTCAGCGAGCACTTCGTGCAAGAGGGCTGCGACAACGAGAACGACCTGCGCTACGTCACGGAATCGTTCGCCAACGAGGAGAGCCTCCTTCCGCCGCCCGACGACGGCGCGAAGGTGCGCATCCTCGGCGACGTTGGCAACGGGTTAGACTGTGAACCTGAGGAGGTATGCGCTGTCCTCGGCCCCGATGTTCTGGCTGCAGAGTTCGCAGCTGACGGTTCGTACAGCGTGCCCCTGCTTGACGCAGCTCGTCGAGCAGGCTGGGGCACTGCTGCTGGACCCGCAGGGCGACAGACCACTCCGAGGGATGTTTGGAGCAGCTCCTGGGTCCTAACCTCAGCGTTCGGCTCTGGCTGAACACTTGTCGCTTGCGTACGTTGGGCAAGTGGCCGATCGGCCCGTGGATGTCCACGCAGACTACATAGTTGCGGGCAGGTGCTCGTTACGGCTGCGTCAAGTACTTTGGTCAGCAGATGCCTGGCTTTCGCCGCATTCGGTCTGTGCAGCATGTGAAAGCCCATCGGTCGTCTGAGCAGTGTTCTACATTCACTCAGTCCGCCAAGAGATCGACCGACCCCAATGTCGTAGCAGATGTGTACGCCAAGAAGGCTGTCTCCCTGCACGCCCCCCCCCTGCCGTTCGAGCTCGAGGCGCAGCTGGGGGACGGGTTGCGGATCTCGGCTAGCTTCGTCCGTCTTGTTGCCGCGGCCCTCTCACTCTTCGACAGTGAGTGTCGCTGGACACGAGTGAGCGCGTCCTCTTCCAGAGTGCATGTACAGCGCACGTGTTGGCACGAGTGGTGTCGCACCGTGCTCGGCGTTCAGTGCGCGCAGCTTGCGCGCTGCATGTAATGCGCACGACAGGCCGATGTCAGGTTGTAGAGGCACGCTTGCGCACCTCAAGGCGTTCGTGCGAGAACCCCTCGGGCACGCGTTGGTTGCAGTCAATCAGGCTGCAATCCTGTCTGCTTCAACCCTGTGCATGCGTGTGCCAATTGTGGCGCCTGGGCTCAGCAGTCCAGGCGTTCTAAGTTCAGACGTTCATGTGCCCCCCCACCAGGAAGGGGCTCGAAGTGCCTGCTAACCTGCGCAAAGGCGGGGGCCCACACAAGAGGCTCGCGCGCAAGGTTGACGCCGCCCTCCCAGCCCACGGTCTCGTGCATTGTGCTGCGAAGCGGCCTGAGCTTGAGACCACACGCGTTTCCAGAGCTGTATCCTCCGAGGGCCCCCCTTCTTACGTCACCAGGATGGCTGCCCTCGCCGAGAGAATTCGACTGAAAGAGCAGTTTGTGTAATGTTCTCTCCTGTTTGTGGGTGGCGCGACCTCGCCGTCTGTCTCGATGCGTCGGTCGTTCCCCCCTGGCAAAGTCGCCGAATGTTCCGCAGAGCTGTGCGGGCATCAGGGCCCCTGAGGCTCTGTTGTGTTTTGCTTGTTGCACCATCCCTCTCCGAGGCGCTGTCTCATCTCATCCCTTCCGTCTCCTACCTTCTCCTCGCGGCGCCCTGCGAAATTGTCGCCACGTTCGTGGGCTCCTGGGCGGTTTCGCGGGGGCACGTCTTGCGCAGATCACCACAGGGCCTGCGGAGTGACGTTTTCCGCGGATCACCACGAGACTTCGCCGCCCCCTGGGTGGCTGAGTTCTGCGAAATTGTCCAAACTTTCGTGGGTTTCTGGGAGGGCCAGCGGGGTGACGTCTTACGCGGATCACCACGAGATCTCGCTGCACCCTGGGGGGGGCTCCGATCTGCAAAACTGTTGCCATTTTTGTTGGCTTCTGGGAGGGCCAGCGGAGTGACGTCTTACGCGGATCACCGCGAGACCTCGCCGCCCCCTGTGGGGCTGCAGTTTGGGAAACTGTCGCCACGTTCGTAGGGCCTCCGGGAGGGCCAGCGGAGTGACGTCTTCCGCGGATCACCGCGAGACCTCGCCGCCCCCTGGGTTGCTGCGATCTGCGAAATTGTCGCCACTTTCGTTGGCTTCTGAGAGGGCCAGCAGAGTGTTGGGGGCCCTCTGGAGGCCTCTTGGGGGCATGTTGGGGGTCTCGGGGGTCATCTTCTGGGGGAGGGCTCCAAGGGCCCCTGCGGGTTCCTCCTCTTGGGCCTCTGTTGGGTCGCTCTTGGGGCCAGATTCAAATTTCCTTTGCCGTCTTGGGAGCCTTCTAGGCTGTCTTAGGGGCCTCCATGGCCGTCTCCAAGATGTTTGCAGGGAATGTAGGGCCGTCTTGGGCCAGTCTGAGGGAGGGGGGAAAGCCTGTCATCGCACACGCCTTTTCACGCCTGGCAAGCGGGGGTCGGCAAATTGTATTAGTTTGGGGCTCTGGAGGTAATCGCTTGGAGGCTCCGTGCACGGTTGGGTCCGTCTTGGGGCTTTTTGCAGGCATGTTGACAGTCACCTTCTCTTGACCCTCCTGGGACAACGTGGATGACATTTTGGGCCATCTGAGGCCAGTTTGGAGCCATTTTGAACGAAAAGGACCCTCTAACATTTCGCCCCCTCCCCCCGTCTTGTTCCAGGGAAAGGGATACGGGGTGGACGGAACCCCCCGAAGGGGAATAAGGAGTTAGGAGTAAACATTTCTCAAGCACCTACGCCCAGAGGGCTGGTGCGGTTGGTCCCGGGAGAAGCCTCAGGGTCCAGGACCCGCTTCCATCAGGATTATCCTTCATGCCACGTGTCTGAGCGTCATGAGAGAGTCCCGACGGGCGTTTCTGCTCCATGTCAGACGTTGGGGCCGCCATGGATCGGCCCAGCTCGCTCGAAATATCACGAACAGGGATGGAGTACATCCCTGGCGGCTGCTGTCTGGCGGAGCCGGTTCCTTCTCCTCCCTGGTCTCTCTCCCTGTCGTCGTCCTTGTCGTCCCCGCCTTCTTCTATGCCACATTTGTGTTTGACGTGCGCTTTCGGAGTGCTCTCGGGGTGCTTTGCCGCCTTTTACAATTATCATCGAACTCGCTATGATTGTGCAATCCCGCATGGTTGGCCTTCGAGCTGCTCGTGGTCGTTCACGGCGATCGTTTGGTTTTACGTGTCGCGTCTGGGCGGCCAGGCAGTTTTGCATTGATACGTTTCAGGGGTAATTCGTATCATTTGATTGGCGCTGTCTTCCCTCTTTCCTCTCCCTCCTTTTCTTATTTTTGCCTCCTCCTCGTCCGCTCGGCCGGGCTACAATTGTCACGGGTTGCTCCTCGTGTGTGTGCGCCTTTTCGTCGAGGGTGGGCAGGATGTGTCCGCCCCAGCCGGCGCGTACAGCATGCTGCAATGTAGTCGTGACGAGGCCTGCATCTTTTGGTGCCCGTGTCCCTCGCCAGAGTTTTGGCCACGTTCGTTAAACAGCCTTGCGTCGTACATCCTCGTTGTGTGCAGGCTTTGCGAGGCGATTCGTGTAGGTTATCGCTGTCCGCTCCCATCTCCTGCTCCTCAAAGAATAGAACCAAAGGGATGGAGTACAGAGTAGCCCAGAATTCCGGCGCCCCGAATGGGGTCGAGAGTTCTAACCGCAGTTGCTCCCACGACGTGGGATGATGTCAAGGGAGGAGGGGGCATCCACAGGCCCGCCAGGGCCCAGATTGTTCTGGATATGACCTCCGGGCCTCGCCGGAGTCGATATCCCTCCAAGTTCTGGCTCCGAGTCGGGTTGTGGAGGCTTGGCGGTGGCAATTCCCCTTATCCTGGCAGGAGACTGCAAACCCTGAGAAAACGCAGGCGGAGGTGCGCTATGAGCCGTTCTTCGTCCCGCGGAGTCCAGTGATCGATTGCCAGGACCAGCTTCCGAACTTCAACCGGTTGCTCACCAGCATTGGGCAGGTTATCTTTGATAAGCAGCCCGGCCGGGGTCTGGCTTTCCTCGTGGCCACCGGGGCATTGCGGGATTATCCCGTGGACATGATTGGTTTCTTGCGGTCAGGCATCCTTCACCCCGCAAGCATCGGTGAGTTCCTCGGGGAGGACTTCTCGCTGTCGAGGGTCCTGCGCATGGAGTTCTTCAACCTGATGCGTCTGAGGGGCTGCGGGGTCGTCGCCAGCCTGGCGAAGGTTGGATGCCACCGTCACGTTTACGCATTACAGTCACTGTGGTCCACGGGGCCGCGGAGGCATGTTGGGCGCACCGGTGCCCAGACAACCGACGTCCTGCTTTGTACACGTGGGGCTCTCGAGGTGTCGACACCAGGTTTTCGTATACGGATTTCGCTCCACCAGGCCTTTCTCTTGCAGGCCCTGGGATCCAAGTCGGGCTTCTGAGGTCACAAACTGAATTGATCTTACTGGACCCCAGGCTTTTGGGAAGCGGGGGGCTGGGACAGGGTCGAGACCCCGAACCCCTTGGAGTCTCAAAGAACACGTCGCGAACTCCCTAGGTCACATTTTGTCCTTTCTCCTCGCCCTCCCTCCGCCCTGCCCTATCTCTCCTCCTGCTGGTATCTCAGAAGGTCTTCCTGCACTTCCAGGTGCCGGAGGACTTGCAGAAGGCTGATCGCCTCCTACAGTCCATAGCGGAGGTCTGGTGGAGGCTTCGCGGCGGCCACGGCACTTAGTAGAGGGGGAGAGACGGGCCCGATGAGGAGGGGGGTCCGAGGAGGGAGGGGAAGGGAGGGCGCGGAGGGGTCGGAGGAAGGCGAATGGAGCCACAGTTCTGCGGGTATTGCATGTGGAGTTGGATTCACAATCTCCCAGAGAACATGTGCCAATATAGTTTCACTGGAACGTCCTGGGTGTCGTCATAGGCGCGATGTACGTAGACTGTTACATAGTCTGGGTGGCCAGAGAATTGAGCCCGCAGAGCGGGAGCCACGGTGGGCATCCCTTTGAGGCAATAAGTCCGCAATTGTGTGTGTCTCGGGGCTACATGAGGAAGTCTTGGGGCCCTCTTGGATCCCTTCAGCTGTGTTGTGCTCCTCTTGGGCTGTCGTCGGAACCCTCTCGGGGCGTTTTGGGGCTCTCTTGGGCCGTCTTGGAGCGTTGTTCGGCGCCTCTTGGGCTGCCTTGGACGCTCTGAAGCCCGAAAGGGCTTGCATGATAAACTTAGACGGAAACTGCAAGCACATCATTGTTATTGCCTCCCTGTCCCCCTGTCCCCTTACCTCTGGTAGGGGGAAACAATTAGTGGATACGCCCTCGCTCTTCTAAACTCAAAGTTGACACGAGCGGGGGGAGACTGCGGTCGAAGTGGAACTAATCAGACCCACCGCCAGTGTTGAACATTGGGGGGAGGGGGAGGCTTTGGCCGATGAGTGCGGCATGCGTGTCCGCATTTTTTTCCGAGGCATGTCTGTCCCCATGTCTTCCCAGACGGCCAGCCCCCTCCCTTGCATCTGACGAGGCAGCACACGGCTGCGAAGAAGCTCGCGGCGGCCTGGTCGCGGGCCTCTCCAGAGGTTGCGCCATCTAAGCCCGCTGATGATGGCGGTGAGGGCCAGGCTGAAGGACATCCAGAAGTGCAGGCTGCGCCGTGCGCTCCTCGATCCCTCCCCCAAACCAGGGTACATCGACAGTCTCAAAGTAAGGGCAGGATAAGTTGGGACAACGCTGTGCTTGGTCTTGCGAGACGCCGGCTTACCCGACAGGTACCGTTTTCGCGCCAAATCGTTGCTAGGTGACCGATTCGATTGACCATAGGAGAGTAGCGGCGAGAGAGAGAGAGAGAGAGAACTGGACAAAGAGGGTGAGAGGGAGGTGAACACAATCACGCTACGTACGCCGTTTGTTGGCGTGAGCGTTCACTCGTTTCCCTTTTTGGCTTGCACTGCTCTCTGGACGTGGGGATGCGGAAAACAAACACACCCGCCTAAATTACATTGTGCAGTGTGGGCCCCAACAGTTGTCAGTTCGAGTCGCACAGCACGTGATGATCTTTGATGTCCAACCACAAAGAGGCGAGCGACCGTGTAGTGGCCATCGGCATATCCCGCCACCGTGCCTGGGTCGTGGACCAGAGGCCTCGTAGAGGCCTTTTCGATTAGCCTACGTCGCCTCTTGGGCGCCTCGTGTGACATGACATGCAGTAATGCAGGCGGTCTCGGGAGCCATCTTCAGGTGAAGGGCAAATCAGCAGGCCCCTGCGAGTTCCCCCTTCTGGCCCGGACGCGCCTGGGACCGCTCGTATCTCAGGCGCCCAGCTTTCTCCAAAGCATACACAGAGAATTCGAAGGCACCTGATGGCAGGATGGCAAAGGCACCCGCAGGAGTAGAGACCCTGCTTGGAAGCGCCATCTCAGGTGTAGAAGCCCTTATCTTAGGGATTCGTGCCTTCCTGAGTATGCCAGCCTGGCCATGTCCAGGCGCCTCGGGATCCAGCTTGATACGGATATATCGGCAATTTTCGGTGGGCAGAGACCTTTTGTGATTCATTTCCCAAGATTGGAAGGAAGTGGGTTTTCGATTTCGATTTCCCAGTGGTGCTAACGGTGTTTCGTCGACTTCGACGGTTGAGGGTGTCTTCGTGGGTCTGAAGGTTGCTCCGTGTGAAAATCTGTGTTGACGCCACCGACGTCCGCCCTACACAGGGCGTTGTAGTCTTAGATAGTTCAGTCATCTTTCCCTTTTCAACATTACCAGGTGCCAAACAGTACCCAGGGCCGACATGCCATTTTTTCTAGTTGTGTGGTTGCTGTAGTGTTTGGCAAGGTGCCCGAGAAGATGGATAACGAACTTGTCCTGGCGGAGCAGGAGGTGGATTATGAGAATCGCCGCGCTGGCCTTCGCGGGGGAGGTCCCCTTGCCAGCCCAGACGGATTGTTACATTGCGTGGTGCTCTTGGGATGTCTAATATGCAGGGAGTTCTTGATTCGACTCCACCTGATGACACTCGAATGTCGTGCCCAAGTGGCACGGTGGCGGACGCACTGTCCAGATTTTGGATTGCTGAGCGCATGATTGGCCCGGCCTTCTGTTCCCCCCAGTTCCCTTCGGGGTACGCGCGGGAGGAGGCGGACCACCAGGATAAGAAAGGGATCGGGGGGAGCGAGGGAGGGATTGGAGGATGGAGGGCAGGGGGGAGGTGGATGCTAGGGCAGCGGCGGTGGTGGCGAAAGCGGAAGCGGAGGATGATGATGGAGCAGGAGGAGGGGGATCCCAGAGCTCAGCGAACGGGCAAAGGCAAACAGGTACGGAGGATGCGGACGAGGCGAGAAGCAGGAGGAGGAGGAGGAGGTGAAGAGGAGGAGGAGGAGTAGGTGAAGAGGAAGGAATGATAATGGGAATGGAAGGAAGTGGGGGAGAAAAGAGCCAACGGAGGGACACGACTCAAGAGAGTGAGGGAAGGGAGGAACGGGCGCGACTGAAGATAGAGGGAGGGAGAGTGGGAGGGTGGACAAATGGGAGCTATTGCAGGAGAGTGTGAGGACGAAGCAGGGAGGACGAGGGGGGCGAAGGAGGATGGGCGAGGGGGGAGAAGGAACGAATGTGGAAGGAAGGGAGTAGCGTGAGTGGCGTGAAGATGGAGGATCCATGAGGAGCAGAAGCCGGAGGGACTAGCAGAACAGATGAGGAAAGTTGAGGGCGGAGGATGGAGAAGGGAGGGGGCGGGGGATGGATGGAGGGAGGGCGGGGGGGGAGGAGGACCAGGATGAGAAGTGGGAGGGTTGGCGCGGGCTTGGCGGACGGAAGGACACGAAAGCGGAGTCCAGGAGGGAGGGTAGGAGGGGCCTGCCCCCGCAGAGGCCGAGCTGGCGGGCGCGGAGCTGCGCGCAGCCCTGCCAGACTGTGGCGTGCTCCACCAGCTGCTGTTCTCGGCCTTTATGCTGCACCGGAGCCCCGTCGGGCGGATGGCAAGGGGGGGGCAATGAACGGGTGTTGAACTCCAGAGTGTGTTTTGTCTCGTACTTTCGTCCGCCCCGATGGGCTTCCGTTCAAAGGTCCTGGCTTTGCGGGCTATTGTTCGTGCCCACTTGCGCTGCGTTAGAACGACTTTTTGGAGCACTCCGGGTTTCCGTCTGCCTTGCATTGTGTTGGGATACCCTTCCACAGCCCTTTGGAGCAGAAGAGGAGGGAGGAGGAGGATTTGTAACATCAACCGTGGCGCAACCCACCTTCACCCAAGGAGGTTGGCGAAACCTCTACCACACGACGAGGCTCCATCCCCGTGGCATGGAAGTGAATCGAGACATGTCGGGCGGCACACCGCATTGCGAGGACATCCCACAGCAATTGTACAGACCTGGCTTCGAGCGGCCACACGCGGCCGACGAATGCAGCGGAACACGTGCGCCCCACCAAGGAGACCACAGCTGCGGACCGTGAGGCTGACCAGTGATAGAACACTGCCAGGAGCAAAAAGGGTGAGAGGAGCACGGGCACGAAAAGTAGAGCGCATCGCCACAAGCCCAGCCTGAGACACGGCCCGAGGCACGGCGCGGCCAGTCCACCTTTCCTCGGCCCTCGGCCCGTGTGAGAGGCTGCCAAGAGGCACAACCAGACATAGAGCCAGCCTCGGGAGGGCTCACGCGCAGAAACACATGAACGCAGAGCGGGAGAATCTCTCTGCCCGCGCGCTGGCTCACAGAGGCAGGCGGGGTGGGAGATTTCTCATCCCGCTCTCCCGCATTTCACTCTCCCGTTGCAAGGCTCGAATCACCCGCAAGAGTGTTATAGTCCGATCCTGAATCAGAGGGCGCCTCACTGGGCGCCATTTGTACTCACCTGACCCAGCAGCCGCCAGCAACCGCAGCGATTTCGCCACGGTGCGCAGCTCGCGGCCTTTCTCATCTTCCTCATCCCCAGGGGTTGTAGGTTCGAAGGAAGCGAGTGTGCCTTCAGGAAAAGAAAATGGGCCAAAAGAGCCGATGTGCACCCTGAGATGTTTGTCTCTCAGGTGTTTGCCCCTCCCACAGTTGTAAGCTGGCGACTGAACTATCCTGCACACACACATATATATATATATGGGCTAAACCATACTTGACCGTCGCACCACGGTGAAGGAAGGCGCCTCAAGCCGGGTATCAATGACAATCGATTTTGAAGGCCTGACGGCCGGTGCCGCCGACCCTTAAAGACATCGACGACGACCAGGAGGGGGAGGAGGAGAAGGAGGAGGAGGTGGACGAGGAGGAGGCGGAGATAAGGAGGAGGAGGAGAAGGAAGAGGAAAAGGAGGAGGAAACGGACTCCCCCCTGGGACCCCCCCCCCTTGGGGAAGAGCACCGGAGGAGGACCGGCGTAGGAGAGGGGGCGATGCGAATCTGACCCCCCCCCCCCGGGACACCCCCCCGCCGGGGAAGGGACAAAGACGTAACTACGACGTGAGTCGATTTCCCTCAATCCCCAGACTCCTTCCCCCGACGACGGGAGAGTGCTCTCTCCCTCCCGACGGGGTAGGATAAACAGAAAAGGCGTGCCGTCGACGGGACCAGACAAACCCCCCGCGCACGCCGACAGGGTCGGCGGATTTGATCTATCGGAACACGTAATAACGATTACTCTGTGCCTATGGTAGTCGGCCTCGTTGAGGCACACTCTGACGTCGGCCTCCCCCCGACATGCAGGAGCCCAAAGGCAGGTTGAGTTGCTCGTAAGTATACTTCGGTTATAACGTGCTCCCGTGACACATGCAGGCACGCGTTGCGCTGCTCGCTCTTCTTCGATTATGACAGGACTTGTCGGGCTGTTGTACAAGCGCGTGGTGCTCGCAGGCGTTGAGGTGTTCGATGGCACGTTGTGGCGTTCACGGGTGAATGTGATGTTCGCGAGAACGGGAAGGGCACTAGGGGGAGGACGTCGACGACAAAGAAAGATGACGGAGGTAAAGTACATAACGGTCGAGGTAAGGGTCCGACACGCACAAGCCCCTGCAAGAGCGGTGGTGGTTTCTACCTTGTCGCCGCTGCGGCCGCCGCCGCCACCGTCCTCAACTTCGTCGTTCGTCGTCGTCGCCGCCGCCTCCGTCGCTGCCGCCCCGTCATCCTCGTTGTCGTCGTCGTCGTCGTCGTTGGCCGTCGTCGTTGGTCGTCGTCGTCGTCGTTGTCGTTGTTGTTGTCGTCGTCTACCTCGTCCTCGTCAGTCGCCGTTGCCAACGCCGTCGCCGTTGTCGTTGTCGTCGTCGTCCGTCGTCCGTTGTCCGTCGTCCGTCGTCCATCGTCGTCGTTGTCGTCATCGTCGTCGTCGTCATCGTCCGTCGTCGAGCGTCGTCGTCCTCGTCGTCGTCATCCTCGTCCTGTGCTTTGGTTGTTTTGCTCACCATCGCCGTCCGCCTGCTCTATGAGCTCATTCCTCGACCGTTCCTCGCTCCATCGTCGGGGAACTGCCCGAGGTTTTCCGTGACCACAAGTGCCCCTTCGGGCAAAGGTCCACCTCGGCCACGTCGAATTCGGCCGGTCGAACTCGGCCGGTCGAACTCGGCCCAGTCGAGCTCGGCCAGGTCGAATTCGGCCGGGGCTGGACTCGGCCAGGTACATCTCGGCCAGGTCCAACTCGGCTGGTCGATTTCGGCCAGGTCATACTCGGCTAGGGCTTTGGTTGCAGCGTTGTCGCTCGCGAAGATGTGCCGGCAAAACTCGGCCAAGTCGAACTCAGATCGGCAAGGTTCACCTCGGCCAGGTCAGACTTGGCCGGGCGATTTCGGCCAGGTTCATCTCGGCCCTGTCAATCTCGGCCAGTTCGAATTCGGCCGGTTTTTACTTCAAGATGCCGCGATATTTCCGCGAAACATGGGGCGATTCAAGATTGGGGGCGGGCACATCGACGTTGGGGAAACACATGTACATTTTCCCTTGGACACCGCACATTCGCCGACGTGTTGGCGTGTGGAAGACGTCCTTCCGTTGGTCGCCGTCGTCGTCGTCGCGTCGTTTCCGTCATTTCTTCGTCGTCTCCGTCTCAAACGCCCCAAGAGGCCCCCAGAAACTTTCAAGAAGCCCCAAGAGGCCCCCAAGAGACCCCAAGGAACCAGGAAGTTCAAGAGGCCCCCACGAAGCTCCCAAAAGGCTCCCACGACGATCGTCGTCATCGTCGTCGTCGTGGTCGTGGTGGTTGTCGTCGTCGTCGTCGTCTCCATCGTCGTCGTCGTCGTCGTCGTCTTCTCTGTCGTCGTCGTCGTCATTGTCGTCGTCGTCGTGGTGGTTGTCGTCGTCGTCCTCGTCGTCTCCGTCGTCGTCGTCGTCGTCGTCGTCGTCGTCGTCGTCGTCGTCTCCGAACTTTTCGACAACCTCGGGGGTCGGGAGGTATCGTCGCTTTCGTCGCCGTCGTCGTCGTATTCGAGGTTGGAGGAGATACGACGACCGCTCGTCGTTGCCGCCCTCCCCCGAACTTCCCGGCCCCCGACCTGGAATTCCAGAGGGTCCGGAGGTGTCATCGTCGTCAGCGTTTCGATCGTCGTCGTCGGCGGCGCCGTCGTCGTGGTTGGGGGAGATTCGTCGACAACGACCGCTCGCCGTCGCCGTTTTCCCCCGAACCTCCTGACAACCCCCGCGGGAATTCCAGGGGGTCGGAGGTGTCGTCGCCGCCGCCGCCGCCGCCGCCGTGGTTGTCGTCGTCGTCGTCGTCGGTGTCGGCGTCGTCGCCGGCGTCGGCGTCGGCGTCGGCGTCGGCTTCGGCGTTGGTGTCGCGTCGTCGTCGAGGTTTGAGAGATACGACGACGACGACGACGACATCGACCGCTCGTCGTCGGTGTCCATCCCCGAACTGTCCGACAACCTCCCGGGAATTCCAGGGGGTCCGGAGGTGTCGTCGCCGCCGCCGCCGCTGTCGCCGTCGTCGGCGGCGGCGTCGTCGAGGTTGGAGGAGATACGACGACGACGACGACGGCGACCGCTCGTGGTCACCGTCCTCCCCCGAACCCCCCGAGAAGCTCCCGAGAATTCCAGGGGGTTCGGAGGTGTCGTTGTTGCCGCCGCAGCCGCCGCCGTCGTCGTCGTCGTCGTCGTCGTGGTCGTCGTCGGCATGGTCGTCGTCGTCGGCGCCGTCGGCGAGGTTGAAGGAGATCCGACGACGACGACGACCGTTCGTCGTCGCCGTCCTTTCCCGAACTTCCCGACATAAGCCTCGACGCGGAGGAAACAATCCAGCGCGATCGCCCGGGGTAGCCCGGTAGGGTCTTTAGAAAAGGGCCCCCCCCCCCGGTCTCTCTCTCCGGGGAATAAAATTTCGCGCCCCCCCGTTCTCCCCCCTCCCTCCCCCCGTTTTCCCCCTTCGCTCCCTCTCCCTCCCCCCGCTGAGGACCTCCCGCAAGCTACGAGGACTGAGGACACTCTCGCAAGTAGTAGTAGTAGGAGTAGAAGTAATAGTAGTAGTAGTAGTAGTAGTAGTAGTAGTAGTAGTAGTAGTAGTAGTAGTAGTAGTAGTAGTAGTAGTAGTAGTAGTAGTAGTAGTAGTAGTAGTAGTAGTAGTAGTAGTAGTAGTAGTAGTAGTAGTAGTAGTAGTAGTAGTAGTAGTAGTAGTAGTAGTAGTAGTAGTAGTAGTAGTAGTAGTAGTAGTAGTAGTAGTAGTAGTAGTAGTAGTAGTAGTAGTAGTAGTAGTAGTAGTAGTAGTAGTAGTAGTAGTAGTAGTAGTAGTAGTACGTAGTAGTAGTGTAGTAGTAGTAGTAGTAGTAGTAGTAGTAGTAGTGGTAGTAGTAGTAGTAGTAGTAGTAGTAGTAGTAGTAGTAGTAGTAGTAGTAGTGTAGTAGTAGTAGTAGTAGTAGTAGTAGTAGTAGTAGTAGTAGTAGTAGTAGTAGTAGTAGTCAGTAGTAGTAGTAGTCAGTAGTAGTAGTCGTCGTCGTCGTCGTCGTAGTAGTAGTAGTAGTAGTAGTAGTAGTCGTAGTCGTAGTAGTAGTAGTAGT